CGAAATTTCGCCGAGGATAAGAAGCCATGCGCGAATTTTCTCCGAGTTCACAATTTCTTAGCCGGTGTTAGAGGATGAAAGGACGTGTCGGAGGATGAAAAGTTTGGGAATGCTTGATGCGCCGTACGACAGACACGCGCGCATGAAGTGTCGCGTAAAAACGTGTGTGCGCGCGCGAGAGGAAATATTTTTCCGCGGCGATCTCCCGCCGCGCGCGCGCGTCGCCCTGGAAATCTCTGACCCGGTTAGGTCTGAATAGTTTGTTCCTACTTTTGATATGCAAATCGGCGTCGTTGTTCACGACGTTGCCGTACTGCTTTGCCGCTGAATTTTAAGCTCGCCCGGTCTCCATGTCACGCAGCCTCCCCGGCAGCGCTACCATCTTACCGGAAGTTCAGCGTCCTGCCGCGGTCCATTTAGAAAAGAAGCAGCGAGCTTACGTAGTTCTCTCACCTCGGCTTCTATGCAGATTTACGTAGTTTGCATTACGCGGTATATATACTACTGATTTAATCTGGAGCTTTACGAGTAGACGCGGTTTAATCCTCTCGTCATCAGAGTTTTTTCGCGTTAAGCTAATGCGTTTTATTTCATCTTTTATAAATAAGATTTTTTCACCTTTCCCAAGTTTTAAATAGCTCGATTAAATTGGTAATTTACAAATGTAGCTGTAGTGAAAAAGATATTCGAGTTTAACTAACAACGATTTCAGTTTGTCTAATAAGAAGACCATAAGTTGTAGAATAGATTACACAGATAGAAAATTTTACATTATTTCGAGATGCGTAATACAAATGTTTCCTATTTTCTATGAAACAAACTCACCCGTCCTGTCTTTTCTTTCTTAAAATTACTGCTCTCTTTTCTTTCTTCGATGTCTATATTCTTGCCCATTTACGGTTGTTCGAGAAAAAGTGACAGATAAAAATATCCTCTTGGAGAGGTCCCTCTTCCCTACCCCCAAGTCAGCTATCTACTGAAATTATCCATAATCCACGTCGTAGGTATTCCGCCGTCTCTACGGAAAGAAGCGAAAAAAAAAAGAGATTTTCCGTGGTGTCAACAGCCAATCTCTCTGCGGAGATCCCGGGTGCGAAGGTGGTGGTGTCAGTGGTAACGGAACGAGTCGGGTCAGACAAGACAGGTCCCGCTCTAACGAAGCGAATTTCTGTCATTTTATCGAGGATTTTGCTCAGTTCATTTGATTCGTTTGATTTCGCCGGCTGGCGCTCGCCCGAGTCGAAAGTGGAGCGTACGTGTAAACGACGAGGAGCTCAGAGGGGGGGGGTGTTTGAAGCGCGCCCAGCGTCCTACATGCGCTCAAAGGGAGCCTCCGTTCCCCGCGTTAGTATGCGGTATCGCATGCACGCGCGCGCGCACGCTTGCCTGGGTATAGTTTCGGCAAGGCAAATAACAAAGGGCACAGGTCAAAAGGAACGCCGAAAAATCGCTTTATTCCCAGTCACGGCCCTGTCGCGATTAATCCCTCGCTAATAGAGCCGAATTCGTATGGCTCACTCTTGACGCGTAGAACGGGGGATTATGGAATTGTTCGCCCTTTGCATCAATTCCCTCTTCCGGGGCAAACGAAGCGGCATAAAGCTCGGCGATTCAGCGTATTTTCTTCTTCAATTTTTATGTATGCCCTTTATTACTGATAAAAATACGGATTCTTTTAGTATAAAGGAAGCAAATGAAATATAAAAGGGTATTAAGTTTCTGACGATGTAATGGAGTCGCGCTAGTGTGCCACGCAATTCTACTAACTTCTACTTATTTCAGTTTGTAATTCAAATTTATTTGCAATGAAATTATTCATATCTGCGAATGTACGTCGAGTTGCTTTACGAGGAGGCTTTCTAAACTTTATAAATAAACATAAAGCGTGAACTAAAACTCGTGATGTATAATGACGCAGTTCGGTGATTTTTATCTTTAGTTTTCCATTGTGCTTACGCTCGACTGCTTTTGATCCGGGAAAAAGATCCATGTAATATTTTATTATATTTATGAGAAATATTGAAATGCAAGAAAGGTAACAGAAAGCTAAGCATCTGCGATCGTGCTTTAAAATCGAGATTTCCGCGAAGTTTCAGGAACTAGGAACCATTAACGGTTGATTAACGCTGCAACTCCCAATCGATTGTACGATAATTCATGTTGACGTAAACCGCGCGCGTACACAGCGGGCTAGCGTAGACCACGATACGCTACCGGGGGAGGGGGGAGAATGAATTATTCTAAGGACGAACTTCACCGTATTATGTGATAAATATAGAAATTATCTGTGCGAAACGCGCCCGCTCGACTTGTGAGTGTCATCATCAGACCGCGTTGCATATCTAGGTTGAGAACGTTACTAGTTGCCGTTACAGCAGTTAGTTTAATCCCCTAATCTGCGCGCATTAATTACGATGCGTACACACGGCTGCGACATGTAAGAGCAATTTCGCATTCTAGCGTAGCGAATACGCGTTAATACTCTCGTTTCGCGTACTTCACAGCTAAGCGCGTAACAGCTTTCCATGCACAACATAATCTGCGACCGGCTGAAGTTTTTTTGAAATCCTTCTTTGTCAAAGAGAGCATTTACTGCACCTTTCTGTAAGATTTAACATATTAGGGCAATTAGGCGAAACACGCCTCATTATTAACGGATTTAATTTTGATAATCGATTCTTTATTTTATAATCTTGGAATTAAAATTCTTTCACTCTCTTTTTTTTACACTGTATAAAGTTGAGCAAGATTATAAATTTATTATTTATTTCAAGTTACGCAAAAGTCTCTGTGATTAATTCTAAAAGTAATTAAAATATGTTAATATTTTTATTCGTAAAAAAATATACTACAAATAATAAATCAAGTAAATAGCAGCATATTTTAAAAATATTTTTTTATCCAACTAATAAGTTTTATTACTGCAGTTTTATTAGTATATTATATTACATTAATTTAAGACATCAAAAAAATTATTGGTTTTTGAAGAAATATAAGCAATATAGTTTTTATCACTATTATTTCTCTACGTGACGCTTTCAAAATATTTAAAATTTATAAAGCGAATTGAATTTATGTAACATTTGCTTCGACAAAAATGTCGGCTATTCTCGCCCATTTAGTATTTTCAGATTTGTTTGTACAGTTTCAAGTAGTCACGCTCATTCCTAATCAAAGTTTCGCACATAGTTAGCAGTTGGGTCTTTAGTATGCTAGAAACCGGAAACATCAACTATATGCCTACGTACATATATGTAGTTTATATATTTACACGTTGTTATTTTGTTAGGGGAAAGTCAAACGTATGTGGCTGAGCTCTAATTAAGTCCGACGGCACAGCGCAAAACTCAATTTAATTAGGGTACAAAACAGCCAATTCACACTAAATCAGGAAAAGAAAAAAAGGGAAAGAAATAAAGAACGTTTCAAGAAGTTACGTGAGTAATTATCAAGTGACCTATTAATTTGTGACTGCAAAAGCTGTCGCTCGTGTCGTTGAAATAATAATCATGCCGTAAAATTGTACGGGTTTTAAAAATACAGCTATAATACATGCACATTCGTAACACATATAAAAAACAGCAGTTACAAAGCACTTGGAGAGCGTTTTAATATCGAGAAATACCTTTCACATTATAAATAATTGACAGCTATCAGCAAGTAAAGAGCTAGTAAACTAATTCAATAGAATTACGATAATAATAAATGATAGAACCGAGTAAGAGAATCTCTCTCGGTTACTTTTTTCCACGAAGAATGTTACATCGCGCGCATCGGTTCGTATTGGAGTTATAGCGGAGTTTGAATCGTACCAGTCGCGACGCACTCATTTTTCCTCCAACAGCGGAAGTACGCGCGTTTTTCATCCAAAAAGCGCCTCTAATTTTCCCTTTCCTTTTGCGCCCCGTGTCATCTGTGTTCCATTTACGCTTTTCGTGAATGCAACGGCGGTCGCATGTCGCCCGGGATTCGAGCGGCTCGTAACACGCGATGTCTCTTAAAAAATTCACCGCATATATCATCGGGCGGATTGTCGTGGCTTTGCAAGGTGCAGGGTGGATGTGCATAAATATTCATCGGATTCCTCCGGGTGCCTGATTGCCGCGCGTAACCCGTTGTCGATGCCCATGCCGACTGCGTGCCGATTCTATAACGCGCGCGGGCACCGCTGATCTTACGATGCCCGTTCATTCGAGGAACTTCGAACTTATGGGGTAAGTTCCGAGCCATTACCGGGAAGTTTTGTTTTTAACGACGTTCGAAGTACTTTATTTTCGATATCTAGATGTGGATAAACCGGTGTAGATATCGTGGAAATAAATTTCTTTATGCAGCAATCTCCCGTTAAAATTGAAATGCAAGCCTCCGCGGGTTAGACAAGTTCCTTTTTGTTAATAATTAAAAGCGTTAATAAAGCTACCGGCTAATTCCGAATTATTTTCACTTCGCGGAGTTATATAAAACAAAATTCACTTACCTTATTTTCGGAATAAACGACTCGGCTAATGGGGTCAAATGGAGCCCGTCGCTCGACGTCGTTTCGGAGATATTGAGCAGCTAAAGGAAATTAATCGGGCGCCATCGTTATTTTGCCGAGAATGGTCTGCAAGTGAGAGACTTCATGAGCCGAAGCCGGGGATTCTTAAATATCCCCGACGGGAAAAGTTCGGGAAGCGCATCGGGGTCATGGCTATCGATCTTCGAAGAGGGGGGGCCATCTTCTCTCGCAGCCGTTGCTATTACCTCCGAATTACCAACCATCCGCAAGACAGAAAGACTAACGTCGTTCATTTGATCTAAATTTTCGTACTATATCGGTTATACCTTACGATTCTGCAGCTATAAATAGTAGAATAATAAAGAAATAAAATCAGCCTTCTATTTGCGTGGACATAAAATGGTCTCTTCTTGCTTTCTCCATCATGGACGTTTCTCGATACATCTGATCGGCGACGTGATCGCTGATGCGGACAGGCGGCGCGGGAATGAATCGACGAGCGTTGTGTGGGTAATTTATTTACAAGAGTAAAACATTATGTACAAGAATTGCGTTTTCGCGCAAGAGAACCGTGTGAAAACAAGACAGTGAGAAAGGTGTGAGCGGGTGGGAAACACAGTTGTATTTTTTTTCTTTCATCTCTCGGGCTAGTCGTGGGTGTAAATCATACGAGCCGTAAAGTCGCGTGGTTTACATACATTTCTCTACTATTATCTGTACGTGTGGGTATGTGTGTTTACGCGTGTTATCCGTGTCTTCCTTTAAGTTTTTTTTTTTTTCATTTAACACTTATGCAATAAGTAGAAAGTACTTCGCCGCCGGTGGAGGTCGATCCACCCCCACCCCCGTTTTTTTTTTATTACATCGCTCTCTTCGGTTAAACTTGCTCGTGACACATTTATTTTACACTTAACACTTTCCTCACTATGGTCGGGAAAGGGCGCGCGGGGCGTAGTCCTGTTTTATCTGCTTCGCTATCCCTCTTCTTTCTAAGCGACACTCGCGCTCGACTACCGTCTCTCTGCGTCAACACTCACTGGCGCGTTATCATTAATTCGTTTAACGTTTGCATCGCGCTTATAGACATCACGGCGCAATTATTCAAAAAATTCCAGCGGCGACAATGCGACTCTCAATCCTTCGCGTGCGAAGCGTTCTTAATTAAAAACCGTAAGATCTCGATCTTTCGCCGCCGTCGCCGCCGCTGGAAATTCTTTAATAATATTGACGTCTTCGCGTCGTTCGTGGATATGATAAGAATTCTCTCGACTGCTCTGCCATGGTCATACGAATGTCGTTGCTCAACGCGTGCCGTATTATTTCAACAATAAAAACCGTACCCGATGCTAACTCACGAAGCATAAACTAATTTCTGAGCTAAATCAAATGAATTTCTGGCTCAAGTATTTGCGAATAGGAAACTATTATCGTTATTTTACCTTTGCTTACCTATGGAGATATAGAGTGCAAAAGAAGCTTAGCATGCGAAAATAATTATGCTGGATTACGTCAACGGTTTTACCTTTAAGATTATTAGGTTCGTTATAAATAAATCGGAATTAAATCTAGTAATACTGTGTTGCGATTGCGTATCATTCCCATTAATATGAGTGTTATAGATCGTAAACAAACGATTAAAAATATTTAAAGTAGAAAATATCTAAAAAGATGATGTCGTTAAAATGTGATATATTTGTCGAAACGCACATGTGTCGCGTCAATTAAAATAAAATAAACGAGACCTGCTTGTTATTTAAGAGAACGGTCATTAAACGATGTTACATCATTGTTAATTTTGGACGCAAGTTGATGGTGAAAATATCGTTTGTGCAACATGCCAATTATTGGAGAACACGTTTCCGAGATAGAGATAGGTATAACCCCAATTATCGCCGATTATGCAGCTATTTGCCCGCTTTACACGTTACACAGCTCAACTGTAAATATTGTCGCTGCATTACAACAAATGTGTGTGTATGAAACGTCCATTCTTTCTGGATTCATTCTTTCGCGGCTGGGAAAAGTCGGCTCAGAAATTCGTCGTGAAATTCATACTTCTAAGACACCGTGTAATACGACTGCCTCACACTCCGCTTAACCCTTAGGCACAAAGCTTCCCTTTTATTACGTAAGAAGAGCTGTCTCTCGGAGATTATCTTTGTATTTCTCACCCCAACGGCCAAACCCACAGTTAAGTTTAAGATAAACGGGATGAGGATTTTCGCGTTGGATTAAAAGACGTAAGATAACCGCTTCAACGAGAATATTTTAAGTGCGAGACGCAATTAAAGTAACATAATGAACCTTATACTTTCTAATAAAAATTTTCGCCTCGAGATAAGTAATTGAAATGGAGCTGAAGAAAAATTATGATTCACAATCGTTACATTTCTATCACTTCGTACGCGATTTCGACGATTTTGAAAAACCAATTCCAATAAAATAAAATTATAAACGCTGCGAAAAACAATAATACGTCAATAATTGTGAATGATATGATACCGCACTGATTATTTTGAAATATTATTCTTCAAAATCAATTAATCCGAAAAATATAAAAATCGCACAGTTGGAATTAATCAACAATTCTCATAAACGATTTCATTAACTTAAATTTCACCGTATCGCTATGACCATTATGTAATTCCGTAAATTATTTGTTTTTTTTCGGCCGCTACGATGAATTCAAACTGTGAGATCTAATCCAGGATGGTCTATGCGGAAGGGTTAACGTTTAAGTTGTGCGGGCGATCATGTTGCGATACGTCCATCGATTTTACGAGTCTCGAGCGACCTTCGTGTACACGCACATTATCTCAGCTGGCCCAGAAGGAAGGCGAGCATCACCAGGACTGTCTTGGAGTTGGGCGAGCCGGCTGCCGTGTTTCCGTGCTGCATCGCGGCCGGATGCTCACCTGAAACAGAGAAACAAGCGCGCTCGTAGAATACTTTTCCTTTATTTTTAGCGATCTGGCGATCTCAATGGAATACAGCGGAATGTAGTGGAAATGCAGCGAGCTAGGAGGATATGTACAGACGTAGGTCGAGACGTAGGAATTTAATTTTTCGCTGTTGTAATAATAACCGCGAACAGTGCGATTCATATATCCAAAAAATGAACCATTATCATGCAGGAATTTGCACCGGAAATTGTTGTAAATTGTGAAATTACATAACATATTAATTCGACTTTTTTGAATATTTATTTTACGATCTTTTATATTGTATTGTATTATACCTGTTACGAAATTTATACATATGTTTTAAAGAGTTTTAACATTTTGCGAGAATTTTTAGATTTTATTAAATTCTGTTAGACCGCGATTCCATTTCATGGCAAATTAAAAAATGTTGACTTTTGGCTACTATAATATATTGAATATTGTAATTGTAAACTTTTACAGCGCAATAATAAATTATACTATAAACAATTTTATTTTTCAGCTTCCTACATTTGCATACATGTACCTGTGCCTTTCAAAATACAAAATATATATTATTTCGAGGCTTCGTCCCGACATTAATTCACGATTCTATATATTCGTGACAAACCATAAATGTTTCTAGCCTTTATCTACGTGAAACGCTGTAAAATCGTAAATTTCACATCGCGGTAGCAAATGGTGTCATAATGTGCTTCTAGGCCGTTTGTATGGCTAGATACAGGATCTCCGGGCATAAATTGTTAAAGAACTCTCGCCGTGAAGCGGGACGGGTATTTCGAGCTGAAACAGTCTCAAGTTTGACGTAATTCTAACGTCGGCCTCGGAAGCCTCGGCGGATTTGCAGAATTGGGGTCAGTGTAATACCAGCAACACACAGCACAAGGGGAAGTGGCAGCGTGTTTCTCGTGCGTCGGGGCATTCGCACCCTGCTCGATTGATTTCTTGGCGAACAGTATACTGGAATTGGAACGAGCGTCGCGAGGGCGGTTTGCGCCGCCTCTCCTCTTTTCTTGGACCGACGAACGGCGAACGTGAGTACTTTTTATTATCCCTCCAGTAATGCCACTTTTGGGACAAAAGACTCAATCTTGAGTCTGGCGTACTCCGCGGCAGTAATAAAATATATATAGGTTGCCGAAAAAAATTGACTCCAAGTAAAGAAAATTGATTTCGTTTTGAAAATATTTTCACCCATTGTCTAAGCGATTTCTTTATTGCATATAATTTTATATCTTTATTTCGCAGTTTCTTATCTTTTCAGTTCGAAGTCGGACTTGGAATTAGCTTAATCTAAATCTAATTGTTTGACAAACGTCGCGTAAACAGTCACTTGCAACGCTGTATGATGTATAAAAGTGCATAAGTGATGCATCATGCGCGGAAAAATCAAATCAAGCAGTATTATAGCCTTCCTCATTCGCGTCACCCGGCACCCCGCGCGATTACCGTCGATTAATATGCGTCGTGCGAATTCACGAGCTGTTACGTGCATTTTTTAAATAATCGTCCCGCAGTGTACGTTTCTATTAACCACGTTCATTTGTCTCTCGCCGCACGATCGGATTCGTTTTTTGGTTTTATGCGAACGTTTCAAATGGTGATCGTATTTGCATATGTATTCCCATCCATAACGCGCATACTATATTGCCGAAGATGCTTTGACATTGATAATCGAATGATTGTCTCGAGATTTAGCTTGTCACAATTTTATTGATATAATTTTTAACGCTATTTTAGTTCCAGCTGTTATTTGATACAAAAATTTATGATGAAACACACAGATCGCTTGTCATGTAAAACTAATTTATAAAAAGATTTGATTCTTCTCTTAAAAATTGTAGGTGAAAACTTATTGATATAAAAAAATTAAATCGTTAGTTAATTACGCCACAAATGTAAAAACTTTTGAAGAGGATTTATTCTAAAAGTACTTTTTTAAATGGAATAATCTTTCATAATGACATTCCTAAAAAGCTGTGAAACATTTTCAAATGAGAAAAAATGCTACAATGCGTTAAATCCTTAAAAGGATTTCAGGCTTTGTTGGTAATAAAAATAAAGTGCGAAATTTTCAGCTTTGTCAAATAATTTTTGCATTTCACAGTCTCTTTGTGCGTCGGATCGAATGAGGGAATGCGTCGTGCCGTCTCGCAACGAGAGTGAACTCGGAGGACTCGTCGGAAATGTTTCGCGAGCGACATAGGACTGTGTAATTAACTGTGTAATTAATAGGGAATTGAAATTCAACGGAATTCGTCAGCGATTTCACGCCGCGGCGGAACAATGGAGAGTTATTAATACATCCGCGTAACGCGCATGACACGGCAAAGGCACACATATCCGGCCCATCTCGTGGCGGCGGCAGAGAACGGAACAAAGTATAATTAGCCGAATATGCGAGCTAAATGAATTTTGCATCGCCGTTTAGCGTGCGCTCGAAAGCGGAGAAAGCGGAGTGTCGTGATTACTACAGACAGACACAGGATATAGATGTAGATGAGTGTAGGTGTAGATTGTCGAATCCGATGAATAATTCAGCATAAATTTCGACAAAAGAGCTCGGTCAAACTGAGGAAATTTTTGTTTAAGCCCTGCGCACACATCGCAAAGGATGCACGAAAGTGGAAATTTTCCCTTTTAACGGAGATGTAACGCTCACAAGGAGGAGGATATTTAATAAAGAACTCTCGCGTATTCAATTTTCTGTCCGGTGTGCGTTATAGACTCGATCTTTGAAGAATAAACGGACGTTACTGTTCTGTCTCTTGAAACGCACGCTCGTATAATTACATCCCCGCAAACGCGACCCCGGCGCATTTGGCACCGGAGGACGGGGACCGTGATACTCGGTGGAAATTAATGTTCTTCTAACGGGCGACGGGTGCTGAGTCCCAGACGAAAGAAATAAGTCGGCGGGTCGGACAAATCGCGTCCGCGGCGCGCACTCGCCTTGCCGTCTTCCTGTTATGCATATCTGAATATTTATCTTTCCGGAGTAGCCGGCGCGCGCGCATTCATCGAGCATGGAGGAGAGATGAATTCATGCACTTCGCCCGAGATAATTGCACTTCGGCCGAGGTTCGCAGCTCATTTGCACTGCCGGAAGGAATGCGCTCTTATTTTTTTTTTTCGACGATGAAAGACGGCGCTTCATTCGTTATTTGTATCAGTTTCCGCTTACCCGTCCGCCGTTTCCGCCTACCGAAAGCCTCGGCAACAAGCTGTCCAAGTCTCCTAAAACCATCGCGAATGGAAAAAGCGAGCAGGATAACACGAGATCCGTAAGACGGCATTGAAAACTTGTATTAGGGAAGCTACCAAAAAATACTTTAATGGCGGATATTTCGGTGAATTTGAAATAAATGTTTCTTTATCAAGATTTTTCATGAAAACTTTAATCGCGAGGAGATATCTCTCTTGATATAATAAGTAAAATTACTCGACGTGTTTAAATTATGATAGATTAATTCTAACTTTAAATTTTAAGATTCGTCTTTCTCTTGCAATTGGAAAGTGAAAATTGTATATTTGTTATAATTGTTATCATTTTTCTCTTTCAAATTTTTACATCTGGAGAGGAGTAAAATTGCATAATTTTAATAAATCACAGGAACATAATGAGTCCTTTCATTTTTCGCGGCGGTTTAATTCCATTTTCTTGATTTATTAAAATCACAAGGAAAAAATTCTTAATTTATTAAAATTGCATAATTTGATTCCTTTCGAAACGTAAAAATTTTGCAGAAAGTAATGTAGAAGCTGAATATATGCGTGTATGTACTTATGTACGTGTGTGTTATGTGTGGGAGTGTGTGTGTGTGTGTGTGTATGTGGGGGGGAGGGGGGAACCGATAAACATGTATATCGCGAGCGGCGCGGCGGTTGCAAGAGTGAAGAGAAGGTACGCCGGTCTTTTGTTCGATCGTGTTATGTTTAAGTTTTTGAGAGAGCGAAGCGTCTGCTCTGGTCTGCCCCAGCCGATGGCCGTATTGCTCTCTGACAAGAGGCACGAGCCAATAAAAATTTAAGAAGAAGAAGTCTGCGAGGTCAGTGCGAAGTGCGAGTCACAGACCACAGTCAGTCGATGACAGAGGATTGCCAGAAAAGGTATTATATCCTTTGACTAAAATAAATTAAGCATATTACAATTATTCCTGCGAGTGTATTTTTTTTTTACAGTAATAATAATAATAAATTAATGTACGTAGATACTTTCACAATTAAAGCAAATTTTATTTCAATGTACGCAGATAGCCGAGTTATCGCAATCAATTTTTAGGAGTGTCCACATTTATTTTACTGTTAACTGTATGTTTTGTAGTGAATCAAGAAATCGGTGCTACATCACACACACACGGCTGCGGCCGTTGCATATTTGTTTTTTCTGCGTACTGTTGCGCGCACTCGGTCGACGTCGACGCCCTATCACTCGCTCATTGAGACTGTGACTCGAGCGGGCAGGTAGCTATTGTGAGTATTATTTCTCGAAACGCAATCGCGACAAGTATCGTACGATTTCAAATGCTATTATTAACCTGCGCGATTAACTAATTCCCACGATTATCGAGATAACCTCATCGTGAGCACATCGAGGTTACGACTTTAAAGCGTCGTCTACAAATGGCAGCAGAAGTATGCAGTAAGACATAAACAGTAAGCTATATTGACCAACCACAGTCTGCACAGTCGACACATTATTCTTGAATTGTAAAAATCCTATTAGTTAATAACTTACTGCTTACGCCTTACTGCATACTCTTACGGCTATTGTAGACGAGCCATAACATTGCATCTTGAAACAGATATTTTACTCAATTTATTCATCTGTCCGCTGTTTTCGAATTGAAAAATATGTGAAATAATCAGTGAACTATATACTATACTGGAATGTGAACTCCCATGCTAGCGCCCGGGCCACGGGAAGAAAAAGACAGAATGGTTGCTTTGCGACTCTGTCTCTCTCTCTGTTTATTTAGTATATGTATAGTTCACTAGGAATAATACATCCGAATTGTCGATTTAAGTGGCTTAAATGATCGAAAGCGGTGCGAGATATCAATATATCAATTCACTAATAATAAATAATCGCGTGCTGTTAATTGAAAATATCGTTCAAAGTGCGATTGTTATATTCCAATGATTAATGCGCGTGCAATCGTAATTAAAAGAAAAATTTATTTTGCAAGTACTGTTTGCTACAACAAAGGAACCTGAGAAAAGGAGAAGGAGGAAATATTAGAAGATTCGGACGACGCAACCACAGAGACAATCACGAAATAAGTAATTTATTTATTATTTTATTATCACGTATACGAATTAAATAATCGCTAATAATTATTTTATACACGCAATATTATTTATTGAAATATTCATTATGTTTAATTATGCACGCGTATTACAATTTGAATATGTTTATGTAATATGTCAATGTAATTCATATTTGAACTTCGTATGAGTCAAATTTTTTTATTTTAATTTAAAGAGTAATGGATCTGTGAAACTAATAAATAGATGTATTACTTTAAAATGTGAGCTAAAGGATACCAGTATCAATATATATTTAATCCTAGATTAAGCGTAATAGCTTATTGTGCACTCGCATTCTCGTATGAAGCTAAAATGTAATTCATTATATTGACGCATTGTTTATTACGATCCCCGAAAGCAAATGATATGATTAATCCTTATCAATAATAGTTTAATTAGGGAGGTCTCTATACTTTTCGTATCTTTACATTCTTTTAAGTGTCCGATTATCTGGAATCTTCCAACATCAGCATAGAGGGCATAAAGTATGAGCCAATTCATCGCCAGTTCCGCTTGCCTACATATCATACAGCCGCATACATCGAACCTCCGCACGCTATACTCTGTCCTGACAATCATTTTGACTCTGAAGAGATAATATTGACGGCCATTTATTGGACACTAGGAAAACGACCAACACACATGCTCGTGCACCAGGTGCACGAGACATCTGAGCTACACGCAGCAATGGACATGGCTAATACGACCCACTCTAATCAGATCCTAGTCTTTCTTGGCATGGCAGGACTGATGACTATCGCCAAAAAGCTCGGATCCGACATGGATGCAAATGGTGAATACCTCATCAATAGATGGCAAGATGTTTGTAACGCAACCGAAATAGAAAACATCTTTACATCGGGTGTTGTTTTGCGGAAACGATACCTGACCTTCATTAGAACATTAAAGATTTGGCAGCTTTGGATTGAAGTGAGACCTGCAGTCTGCAAAAGCCTCCTTGTTGCCGCCCTGGACTTTCCGGAAGGATCTCCTAATATGCTTGTGAACACTGCGATGGCTAAAGTAAAAATAGAGATTCAATATTTCGGCATGGAGATGATACTAAAGATGGATGCCTTTGTGTCTTTACAAAATATAAATGTAAATAAAGCCATCTTCCTTCCGGATATCGCACAACAAGCTGTGGATCTCAGAAGAGCTATGGACGAGTTACGTAGAAGATATGGAGATCGTTTCCCATATTTGAAAATTTACTGGCTCGAAGGAACAGATCGCCTCACTTGTAGGAAATACCCAGACCTTTTCTATGCGGTTGTTGCGACCGAAGTTGCCAACAAAAAGACAATTCCTGATAGCGCAAGGCATATTTTAATGGATTTGCAGACTCGTACCGCTAGACATATCATAGATGCTGAAGTAAAGAAAACGCTGACATCCGAGATGCTTGATAAGGTAACTACCGCCAATCTCCGTTTCCTTAAGATTGAGCCGCGTCTCTTCTGTCAGCGTCGAGAAGAAAATGATGTTAAAAACGAGATGCTTACTATTGAAGGGCCAAAAAAAAGAAAGATTAAATAAATGCAGAAACTTATTAACGTCTTATTCTACGATAAAATATCAACTAATTGCGAGATATATCAGTTGCTTGAAATTTATAGGATAATCTCATAAGTATGAATAATAAAAATAACAGAAAATGTATCAGCCAGAGCGATTATTTATTTTTGCATAAGTTCGATGGAAAGTAATGAGTGATGATAGGATGATTTTCGCGAAAGAGATATGTCTCCAAATTTATAGTAAGAATATTATCTTTTACACTTTTTACCAAGCATGATCTTTAACATATAGATAAGATTTTCAGGAAATTTGAAATGCCATGAAGATATGATATATTAATAACATTATTTGGACAATTTAATATCAAATGCATTATAGTAGATTAAATTTTGCTGTTTATTTTAATTAACGAGCCCGTCTTGTTAGATAAATATTTAAAAAAGAGAAAAATAAGTAAAATAGAACCATAAAAAGTAAAGTAGTAATATTTTTAATACATGATACTTTTATCTAAACTTTTTCATGAAGTTTTTATTTCATGAACGATGAAAATCGAAATAAGATATTTATCTATTCTATATATGTTTATGTCAAATGAGAAAATAAATTAGTACCTATTGTTTTACATTAAACGCTTCAGTAAGAAAAAACGATTAATAAATGTATTACTTAGTTTGTTTTTTTTTTTTTAATATTTTTTAAATATTATTTTATAGGATTAGATATCTACATTTGGCCTCGTTTTATATCTTTCCGGATTAATGATTTATTTTCGAATAGGGAGCAATGTTGTAAGATTTAAATCAAAGTTTTAAATCAGTATCTGACAATAATTATGTGTATATGATATGAAACATGTGTATGTGTATATCAGTAATAAATTTTTTTGTCCCGCATCCTTTCTCTAGCTGCTTTGCAAACACGAGCCAGACTTTGTTTATTAATAAATTTTATACTATGCAATATAGGCTTTATAGGCTATAAAGGTTTACATTTTTAAATTGATCCCAAAACTTGTTTTGCACACTTTTGCTGAAATTTAGCATTAGCTTTACTGGTGAAAAACATAACGTTGATCCCCTCGATCCAAATTGAAAATAATCGATTCAACGAGATGAATCGATATTTTAAGAATCGGTAAAGAATCAAGAATTGGTTCTCGATGAATCGATTAAGAATCAGGCATCACTAATGGGAAGAAACGCAAGACACGACAAATTTTGGATCAAAGTAACAAATTATCGAGATGCTAGTGAACAAAATCCTTTTGATTAATCGATTTATCCTTTAAAGTTCTGTCTTAAAAAAATAGAGATTTTTATATTTTCTGGTAAATAATTGGAAATTTCTGAGGTTTTTGAATTCCGATTTTGAGTTTAGAGATTTATTCTATAAGCGAGTTGGCAACACTGCACTAAAATGGTGCGATTGCGAGCCCGAGGACCCGAGCTGCCCGAGCACGTGGTTTGACTGCACTGGATCATTCGTGCAACGTGACTCGAGCGAGTGGGTAGCCCTGTATTGTCATCGTATTATTTCTCAAAACACAATTGCAGTAAGTAAGATTCCAAATGCTATCATTAATTTTGATTAGGATTACATCATTCGAATTTTTATTATTAGTATATTCGCTTTTAACATTGCAATGGTCAAATCGAATCAAGGCTGCGGTCCACTTGAAATGCTTTGGAGCGTTCTTCTTCTCCTTTTTTCATTGAAAGAAAAGAGAAGAGGAATGCTTCGAAGCATTTGTAGCGTCAAGTGGACCGCAGCTCAAGTGCATGAGTACTGTTTAAGGGGATCCTATAGTGGCAGTAATTATGACATTTTTTTATTAGAAGAAATCTTTGAATTGGCTTTACAGAATTAAAGTATATGCACAAAAATCTAGTGCCACACGAGTTTATATCAAAAATGGAAAAAGAATTAAAAATTTTACTTTTTTTGCACATACAGCTATCACCTGATGACAATATTTGCTTAATACAAAATAGTGCAGTTTATATATACAAAATGAAATAGATCGGCATTAGGGACAACATGTAGGTACAATATCGTGCAAATGGAATTAAGATTCAAAGCCTAGAAAAGTCTAGAAATGGTGGCAGCGCATGCATCCCCTCCACATGCTGCCGACGCACACCAAAGCAAATGCATATCCGTGTCACAGTATACTATGGCCATGTGCTGTCGAGCGTTCGAATATTCTCGAGTCTAACCGAAGTTTGTCGAGTTTCAGCCGTTATTTCCCCTTATTGCCGCGCTATCACCTAGGCTTACGCCCCGTCTATCTTTTTCTAAGCCTATGTTTGCTATAGGATCCTCTTAACTAAAAAGGAAAAATTTTTTAATAGTCAAAATTATTGACTTTTCATACAATATGACGTTAAGAATTTGATAGATAAATATAGTATATATTAATTAACAACAAACTTTTCCTTATATTACGTATATATGAAAAATTTAGTTATTAATTAATTAATATACTTCTTATCCATCAAACTTATACTGTATAAAAAGTCAATAATTTTGACTATTTAAAAATTTATTTACATTTTAATGCTTCTTTGCTCACAAAATAAGAAAAGACTTATTATTTTATAAAGAAATTTGAAAGAAAAAAAGACAATTGCGTGTGGAACTGAACCCGGACGCTGCGGAATTCGGTCTTACAACAATCGTATGCACACGAGGCTGAAAATTTTTTTTTGTTCGTAGCTCTTAAATGGCTGGCCAATAGTCAATAATATTTTAGTTTTAGGTATACACTCACGGAATTCTCCTCTTACAAACTTAATGTATAGTTCATATCCGCATTCCGCAGCCTCCAAGTTTTCCTTGGAAGAAGAAGACGAAGAATTAATTCGCGTGATTAATTAATTCCAATATGATTACCGACTCGTGAACATATTGAGACGGCGACTTTAACATTGCATCTTGATGCTGGTCAATTTCACTCAATTTATTCATCAGTCTGTTGTTTTTTAATTGAAAAAATGTGGAATAATACATCCAAATTGTCGATTTAAGTGATTTAAATGACTGAAAGCGGTGCGAGATATCAATATATCAATTTACTAATGATAAATAATATAATCGCGTGTTGTTAACATCGAAAGTCGTTCAAGGTGCAATTGTCATATTCCGATGATTAATGCGCGTGCAATCGTAATTAAAAAAAATTTTTTTTTTACAAGTATTGTTTGCTATAACGAAGGGGCCTGGAAGGAGGAAAAAATGTTAGAATCATTGGGCGTAATTAGAGGCAATCAAGAAATATGTGAGTAATTTGTTTATTATTTTATTTGTTACGTATAAATTAAGTAATCGTTACTAATTATTTTATACACGTAATATTATTTATTGAAATATTAATTATGTTCAATTATGTACGCTTTATTACAATTTGAATATGTTTATGTATTGTGTCAATGTAATGTATATTTGAACTCCGTATCGGTGATGCAAATTTTTCTATATTTTAATTTAATGGATCTTAATTTAATTTAATGGATCTGCGAAACTTGTATTAAGTAGATGTATTACTTTAAAAAGGGCTAAAAGAGATCAGTATTAATATTTGATCCTGGATAGTATAATAATCTATTGCATTCGCATGCACATATGAAGCTAAAATGTAATTCATTATATTGACGCATTGTTTATTACGATCCCCGAAAGCAAATGATTAATCCTTATCAATAATAGTTTAATTAATGAAGTCTCTATACTTTTCGTGTCTTTACATTCTTTTAAGTGTCCGAGGATCTGGATCTTCCGTTGATATCTTCAGACATCATCTTAGAGGACCTAGGCTATGAGCCAATTCATCGCCAGGTCCGTTTGCCCGTAGCAGATACAGCCACATACATCGAACCTCCGCACGCTATACTCTGTCCTGACAATCGTTTTTATCCTGAAGACATAATAGTGACGGCCATTTGTTGGACACTAGGAAAACGACCAACAAGCATGCCCGTGGACCAGGTGCACATGACACCTAAGCTAGCAAAAGCAGTAGATAAGGAATTTAATACAATCTACTGTGATCAGATTTTGGTCTTTCTTGGTATGGCAGGACTGATGACTATCATTAAAAAGCTCGGATCCGACACGGATGCAAATCGTGAATACCTCACCAACACGTGGCAAACTGTTTGTAACATAGTCGGAATGGGAATGATAAACATCTTCACGTCGGGTTCTGTTTCGCAGGAGCGATACACGTCCTTCGTTAAAATTTTGGAGATTTGGCAGGATTGGATTGAACCAAGAGATGCACTCCGCAAAAGCCTCCTTGATGCCGCCCTACTAGAACATCTGGAAGAATCTTCTTTGTTTGTGAGAGTTGCGATAAATCAAGTAAAAAAAGTTTCTAATACATTTCGGCCTGGATCATGTATTAGTTTTGGATGCCCTGATCTCTTAAAATAAAACCATCTTCCGCCAGGCTATCGCAAACGGATTTCAGAAGAGCTATAGACGAGTTACGCACAAGATTTTGAAGATATGACATATATATATATATTAACGATGATAGTAATTTTTGCGAAATAAAAATATTACGTCTCCAAATCTAGTAAAAATATTATTATCTTTTACATTTTTTGAGAAGTATGATCTTCTACACATAGATGAGGTTTTGTTCAATTTGGAATACCATGAAGATACGATAGATTAATAACATTATTTAGACAATTTTAATATCAAGTGCATTACAGCGGATTGAATTTTACCATGCATTTTAGTGGATTAATATTTATCTAAGCAACGAGCCCGTTGATTAAGTAAATATTATTTAAAAAAGAGAAAAATAATTAAGTAAAATAGAACTATAAAACAAGTAAAGTAGTAATATTTTTTACATACATGATACTTTTATGATAAAACTTTTTTATGACGTTTTTATTTCATGGATGATGAAAATCGGAATAAGATATTTATGTATTCTATATATGTTTATGTCAAATGACAAAATAAATTAATGTCTATAATTATGCATAAAATGTTTAATTAAGGAAAACCTATTAATCTTTAATATATTCTTTAATATATTAAATATATTCTATTTTTTCTTCTTTTAAGTATTTTTCAAATATTTTTTTATAGGATTAAATATCTATATTTGGCCTCATTTCATCTCTTTCCAGGATAAAAAATTTTATTTTCGAATAGGGAGCATAATGTTCGAAGATATTTTCAACGTGCATACATTAAACACAAAGAAATAAGATATATATTTTATAGACATATCATAACTAATATTTTTGAAAAAATGTACAACGGTTAACGTAATACAGTTAAAGTTAAATTTTCTCATTACACACACGCGACACGCAAGTATGAAATAAATAGTCTTTTCTAATATTTGATTAAACAGAATAAATATGTACTTTAATTTACATTCAATATTATTCAAATGTTTACAAAGTAACTTTGCACAAGTTTTACATCGCAAACGCAAAATATATTAAAATTTTATAGATAAATGTAAGCTAATATAGAGAGTTTAAAGTTTATTGCAACTTGAAATTAAAAGATTTTTAATAAATTGATAAAAGTTGTGCAATCCTAGATTATATTACGATTCAAGATTTCGTAAGAATATCTTTAAGACTCCTAGACAGGTTAGATAAATAAGTTTGCGTTCCTAGCACGAAGATACGTTCATAAAAATTAGATTTGACCACGATACCACGAATATGCTTCTGAAGGCGATCTTATTCCCGATGAGATTGCTAGACGGATTCACGAGGGATTTTCTTTTTGTCGCGTTTTCTAGTTTCCAACGGATTTCAAAAATTGGATCGCATATAGTGCTTTCCTTTGTTCTTAATAAAATGAAAAAAAGTATTTCCACATTGTCGATCAAACAGAATAATAAAATTACATATATTGTATATTAATAATAATTTGTAATGAAATACATAAAATCATTAAAAATTGTGTTTTCAAATATGTTGTAATAAATCTAATTAAACACGCTATTAGTTTACGCTAATAAAAAGTGCAATTATAATATCTCTATTGAAGTGATCGTATTATAGAGTATTATAAAGTAATGCAAACTGAAAGTATTTTATTTATACTTCAAATAATTTAATTGTAGAGCAAATATAATATGTCTTTGAGTACGATTCTTTTTAATATACACGTTGCTGAATAAAGCATTTGGTCTACAACGGTATAGGAGCTACTTCAACTCGCGCTTAATGCCGTATTCTGATTGTCCAAAGACGGTACATTACGCTTTGCATTCCGGATGTTGCAACTTAATGATGACAGCTTCCGTAAGAATCTTAATAACGACAATATTTCTCCTTGAAGCTGCTTTAAAATCCTGGTGGATATTATGTTATATTTCTCTCGTTAGTATTATGGGAAAATGTTATATAAAACTATGCACCCGTATCTATATTAGCAAAGTTCAACCCAATTTAAATTGCTTCGTTATTTTTACCAATAAGAATAGCATATTAACGCTTTGTACAATGAAAAGAATTGTCTGCGCTACTAAATGTAAAAGCAAATTTGTTAAAATATAATTAAACTGTAGGTAAATGCGCGCATATATAAGAAAAAGTTAATAAGTTTTATTTAAAAAATTCTTTAAGAAAGAGAACTATATATCATCTTGCATTGTTGTGTGCATTTCTAATTGTAAGCTGTATGATCATTTGCAAAGATTAAGACAGAATTACAACAATAATTGACTCATTCTTTTAAATTGTAATCTTGTTTCATAAGCAGAAAATAGAAAAATTCTAATTGTATAAAGTTTTTGGGTTGCATCATTTGGAGTTTTAATTTATTAATAATATCCTCTGATATTCTATCGATGTCTTGCCGATTTTTGTTTAAAATATTCTTCGATTGCACGATTCGAGTTAAAAAGTTGCAATTTCAAATATTCTAAAAAATCTGTCATTTTAAAGATATCTCAGAAATTAGAATTACAATCTTTGGAATGTCTGCCACTTCTTGCCAATTACTATCTCACCGCTCGATCGCGATGTAATTGAATGAACAGCTTTCGCGGCCGGCCATCGAATCAGATGGAATCGACCCTCTGAAATCTCCGAAGCTGCCGATTTCTGATTCGTCGGGGGGTCGTTGCAAACGGCGAGATAACCGCGGAAGGGTAATGCGGTGTTGAAATTGGTTGCACCGAGGCGGTCGGCCGCGCCACGGAAAATTACGGTGGTAACGGCACCCGGGCGGTTGCTGCTGAAACAACCGGAAAGATCCTCGGCTGTCGAAACACACCGCGAAATTTCCACCGTTCGGTCCCCGCTGCCGCCGCTCGAAAACCCCCCTGTAATCTTTCGCGCACGGAGCGCCGCGTAATTAACGCGCGTGGCTCGATCGACCGAAAAATTTCCGGGGTTTGTGTCAGGTACTGGCACGTTTGCGATTCAGAACGCGTATAGGGAGCAACCCGCCATTGCGAGCATCGACCGGACCCCCCTTTTAGATACATTATTCACACGTATGTTTTTTTTGCCTCTTTTTCGCTTTAAAAAACGAGGGGTATTGATGATAAGACGTGTCGAGAAAATAAGATTTCTCCTCAAAGGATATATTTTCCCAGCTTTTATATGTATAACATAAATAGCTGTTGACGCGCGTGCGCGCACGTATATAGTTCTTTAAAATGTATGACTCATCTTCAGCTTTTTATAATTTTTTATTTAAGATAATCCTATAAACAAGATCGTAAAATTTGTGTTGCTTTATATTAATGCGCTTTCATCGAAAATTTAAAAAAATATTTTCAAGGTTTATCTAATAGATAATAAGTGTGAAATGTAAAATAATTAAAATGTATATAAATGCATGCGTGTCGAAAAGTAAATTGTAAAATATGATGAGCTATATCGGGCTTTAACGAAGCTCTGCAACACATTAAAGAAAACTCGTGAAATAAAATTCAAAAAAAAACTTCTTCGCGATCTTATTTCTTTTATCTTCTTAAGGGTGCAGTGCTCTTTCTTTTTACTTTTCTAACGGAATTAGATTTTTAATTCTGAGAAATACCGTAAAGGAAAACGGAATGCTTTGTCCGTGAGCAGGAACGGAAAACCGAGAGAAACTTTACGATTCCAGCAATTTCTTTCGTCCGCGCGCTCCGCGAGGAAACGTATAAGCTCCCCTCCTCGCATTTTTTACACGCATTTCCGGAGGGAGAAACAGCCTAATTCTTCACGGCACGCGTTATTACTTCGCTCGAAAGGAGGATTCCCAGCGCCCTCGTAAAAGATGCACGATCGCGATTGTTAAAGCGAGAAGGAATAAGCGAGGAATAAGCGTGGCTTGCGGGTAACAAAGGGTTTAAAGGAATCCGGCCGTCTCGAAGGAAATCATCCCGCGTTGTCGCGACTGTCGGGATCCGTATTTGAATGTACGCCTCTACATTTTTCATGATCCGCCGGACGAAGATACCTTTGCGTCGACGATGAATAGGACATGGCCTCGAGAATGTTGGGAATTACGCGCGGGGAATATAATAGAACGTATCCAATCTATATGCATCGGTAGAGGAATAGGAAAACTCTTTCGTATTTTCACCGAAGAGATGGTACAAATATAACAGAGATATCGACTAACGTAAGCAGCAAATGATAACAAAATTACATACAAATATAAAGTAGGCGTTGATTATCTCGCGTCATGTTCTCGCAGAAATTTCATTCGAGAGAAAGAATCACTCGTATAAGACGATCCACTTTCACGTAATCGCTAATGAATTCCGGTAAACTGGGACGACGTGGGATAAGTGAGATGACGATGTTTAAGTAGAACTCTGGAATATCCCACGCGAAAGTTACGACCGCATGGCCAAAACGGCAACTAGACACTTAAGCAACTCGGCGTAGCGCCGCCTGAAACTGGGTTACATGACTTACATCCGTCATAGGAGTTTGCGCTAACGTTACGAGAGTGTACGTTTGCAGTGGCAACGACTGACAGACAGTAGTGCGGTCCTTAAACGTATCAGTCCGCCGGCACGTTGAGGCCGCTCACCGGTGAACCCATATTCCTTCGGCGACACCGTCTCTCTACTCAAAACCGTAATCGGACAGCGTTCTCGCAACGGCGCGATTAAATATTGTGCGACGATGCGCGAAATACGTTTCGCGTTTAATCGCGGGCATCGCGCGCGACGCACTTCTCGCAAATATTGGCCGAACGTGCGCGCCGCATTCGCGCGGCCCTTCCGATGCCCGCGAGCAAATAATGCTCGCGCTTTATGAAAATCAATTAATTCGAAAAAATAAATAAACTCGATTGGAGAGGCGGAGGGGGCGAGCAGTGTTGCGCACGCCCGCACGCGCGAAACTTTTACAATTCCCGAGGGAATGATGACGGATATTTTGCCTGGCTCAACGGCTCGCGGCTCGTTCAGATTTTTTCTCACCGTACCGTGGTATATTTTGTTGAAACTGCGCTAGCTCGCTGGAATTTGACGTTCCGGTCGAGGAAATATTTTTTCAGCGTAAAATATTCACAGTTTTATTTTGTCTAAATTTTATCAATTCGGTCGGAACACGGCAGCAAGCGTCACCAGAGAAAGACGACTTATATTGCGACTTTATTAATGGAATAATATACTTTCTACAGTGTCTTTCGTAATAATATCCATTGCCAAGTTTTTAAGTAATCAGCACAATAATAATTGCGTTGGAAACAACATTATTCGTCACAATCGCGACGTTCTCCGAGAGAACTGCTGTAACCGTAATATTTCGTGATGTCATGTAATAAATCATTTCGTCGATTATATTTTGTTTCGCCGAAT